TTTGAGACAGTCTCCTATATTCTGAGCTGGCCTTGGACTTCCTATGTAGCCAAGGGTGACCTCGAACTCCTAATCCTACTGCCACTACCTCTCAAATCCTGGGACTGCAAATGTATGCCACCACATCCAGTTCATCTTTTATTTTCCTATAAACTTTTCATTTTTATTTTTTATGTGTATAGATGTTTTGCATACGTGTGTCTGTGTACCACATGCATGCCTGATGCCCATGGAGGCCAGAAGAGGGTGTCAGAGCCCCCCAGAACTGGAGTTACAAATGACTGTGAGCTCCATGTAGGTGCTGGGAATTGAAACTGGTATCTCTGCAAGAGCAGCCAGTGCTCTTAACTCTTTCCAGCCCCTTTTATTTTTTAACTGCATTTAAAACTGTACACAGAGGCCGGGCGGTGGTGGCACACGCCTTTAATCCCAGCACTCAGGAGGCAGAGGCAGGTGGATCTCTGTGAGTTTGAGGCCAGCCTGGGCTACAGAGGGAGTTCCAGGAAAGGTGCAAAGTTACACAGAGAAACCCTGTCTTGAACTCCCCCCCAAAAAAAAAATTGTACACAGAGAATTCCGAATGGGATTCCTATAGACCTGTGTTGGCTGTGCTTTCCGTTTATTTCCACTTATTAGACATGCAGGCAGAAAAAGTAAAGGAATAGCCGTAGCAGGCAGACAGAAGCAGCAGACCGACAAACAAAACAGCACATCGATTTACAACATCCAGCAGAGAAGAGTCGCCTTATTAAACCAAACCCAGGTGTGGTGGCCATGCCTTTAATCCCAGGCTGAGGCAAGTGGATCTGTGGGTCTGAGGCTACCCTGGTCTACACAGAAAGCTCCAGGCCAGCCAAGACTACACAGTGAGACCCCATCTCATCTCTCACTTACCCCACCAAAGGGGAAAGCAAACCGTGGAAGCATCATCCATTCAGGGCTTGCAACATCAAGCAGAAATCAACTAAGGCAGTTGGAATTTTCCTCTGTGTTCTCTCTCCATGTCTGAGTTTCCAGCTTGCCTCTCTACTGCAGGCATTTTTATACCACGGGATGAACATGGCCGTCTGTTGGAGACAACTTACCTTTAGCTGTGCTGAGGGGCAGGATATGTTTACCCTCAGGGTGTTTTGCTGTTGTTGGCTCTCCCTGTGACCAAGTCTGCGGCCCAGCCTGGCCTAGACAGGGAGTTTTGAAGGAGCTAAGGAAGTGCCTCACTGCTCCCAAGTCGGGCTAGTTGTTAGTCTTCAGCACCACGTGACCTCTCAGCACTCTCCCTTACAGCTTTATAGCCTGGGGTGTTCAAAGCAGAAACGTTCCTGCTGCTTTAATCAATCACATCATTTCTTGATATCTTTTGGATATGCCCCTTTCAAAAGTTTGTTGTTGTTGTTGTTTTGTTTTGAGCTAGCATCTCAGCATGTCTCACCACATAGTCCAGGCTGCTCCAGATCTTGCTATGTAGCTTGGGCTGTCTTGAACTCGCCATCCTTCTGCCACAGGCTCCCAAATGCTGGAATCCTACACATGTGACACCACACCTGGCTATATAAAAGCTCTTTATCAGAAAAGGGGTTCGTAAATATTTTCTCCCAAGCTGTAGTTTTTCATCTTCGTCTGAAGACCCACAATATTTAATTTTGGTAAGCGCCAATTGACTTAGCAGGTTTCCTTTTGACAATCACGGCTTTAGTACTGTGCTAAGAACTTGTATCAAGCCAGGCACAGTGGTGCCTTTAGTTCCAACCACTTGGGAGGCAGAGGCAGGAGGATTATTTGAAAAGGATAATAAATGAGAGACTATCTATACTCCATTAGATAGACGGATAGGTGATTGACATGATGTGTGCATTCCACCAAATTTAAGGACCATTCATATCATGTTAATCATCTGAAATGACAGAGGCTTGTTTTCAGGTCTAGCATATGGCTGACCCTGGAGAAGGGTCCAGGTGTGCATTAAAAGTACATGGCTAAACTATCGATGGGTGGAACTGATTTACAATTTACAAACTTTCTGTGCATTTACTGATTTTCTGTGGCATTGTTCTACTTGTTATTGAGAATGGGATACTGGACTCTAAAATTTGATACATTTATTTATTCGTGTGTGTGTGTGTGTGTGTGCGCGCGCGCGCGCGTGCACACACATATGTATATACACACACATACACATATAATTATACGTGGAGGTCAGAGGGCAAGCTGTGGGAATCAGCCCTCCCTGTCCACTAGGAAGGTTCTGGGGAATTGAACTCAGGTAGTTGTTAGGAACTGCAGCATGCACCTCCTTGCTGGACACCATGTAGCCTAGATTGCCTTGGAACCCCTGATGTAGACCAAGCTGGCCT